TTTCAGTGGCGACTTGGCCACTCTGCCGCGAGGCGGGCCCTAGGACTGAGTTCCCGCTGAGGGGACGTTAGTGGCAGTGCTGTGTGAAGCTTCATGACCCAAAAGTAGGGCTGCTGCTTTTCTCCTCCACCTCCTCCCCTTTCTATCGGCTGGGACTCCACTTTGGCAGTGGGACACCTCCTGGGCCATGTGGAGAACGGTGAGACCCTAGAGATGGCTGAGGATTGTAGAGGATGGAGCCTGTGCCCCGTCACCCTGAGGCTGCCAGACCAGCTGTGACTGCCTACGCCTTTGATAGGAGTAAACTCCCTTTCCTAGGCCACCCTCTTGGGTCACATCACCACACCCAACTTTACTGTGTATTATCTCAGGGCTTCTTTCCATTATCTTGAGACCTGAGATTTCTCTTAATATGTCCTCAAGTACTAGGCATAACTGGGTAAAAGTAAGCCAGTATTTGAGAAAAAAAGAACATTTTTATACCAAGGAGGGATTGATTTTCAGAAGAGTAGACTTCTCTCTCTCTCCTCCCTTCCTCCAAAAAAAGAAGTTGAAAATCTTCTCTTTTTTTGAGATGGAGTCTCACTCTGTCGCCCAGGCTGGAGTGCAGTGGTGTTATCTCAGCTCACTGCAACCTCCACCTCCCAGGTTCAAGTGATTCTCAAGCCTCGGCCTCCCGAGTAGCTGGGATTACAGGTGCCCGCCACCATGCCTGGCTAACTTTTGTATTTTTAGTAGAGATGGGGTTTCACCACATTGGCCAGGCTGGTCTTGAACTCCTGACCTCTCAGGTGATCTGCCTGCCTTGGCCTCCCAAAGTGCTGGGATTACAGGCATGAGCCACTGCACCCGGCAGAGATCTTAAGTTACTATACTGTCCTTGTAGCTCTCTTTCACCATGGTCCAGGGAACTGGCATTTCAGTTGGAGGAGCTATAAATAAGGGTTTTCAGCTTGAAGTCTCTGATCCAGGGCCTATTTCTCTATAGCAACAAGACCTCATGTTTCTATGAAGCTGAGTGACATTCTAGAGCCCTCTAAAGCTTCATGTATCCCTCCTCCACTTCTATAGCCACCCAGATTCCTTTTTTTAACATTTATTTATTTACTTATTTATTTATGAGAAGGAATTTCGCTCTTGTCACCCAGGCCAGAGTGCAATGGTGCAATCTCTGCTCACTGCAACCTCCGCCTCCTGGGCTCAAGCAATCCTCCTGCCTCAGCCTCCTAAGTAGCTGGGATTACAGGCACCTGCCACCACAACCAGCTAATTTTTTGCATTTTTAATAGAGATGAGGTTTCACCATGTTGGGCAGGCTGGTCTCAAATTCCTGACCTCAGGTGATCCACCCGCCTCAGCTTCCCAAAGTGCTGGGATTACAGGCGTGAGCCACCGCGCCCGGCCGTCTTTCTTTATGACGATCCCAGGTTCTTTGCTCTCCTCTTCTCTTTCGTCTTTCCACCTGTTTTCACCACAGTTCCTCCAACCCAGGCATTCTGGACGTGTTCACTCTTGGTAGTATTAAACAAGACGAGGGAAGTCACAAAGTTAGGCACTGTGAGTCAGTGTAAATGGAGGCCTGTAGTAATCTGGCAGGGACCTGGTGTGGGGGGTGCACAGCGGAAGAATGTCCCTGCCTTCTCCTCACGTCTCTACCAACCCTCTTCCCCTTCCCCATTTCTATCCAAGGGAAATAGCAGTTTGTTTCTTTAGAGTTCAGAAAAGTGGGTCATACTTACTGAGAGATGTCATATCATGTTCCGAGGTCCTAGACTCAGAGAGTTGTCTTTTTCCCACCTCTTCTCTGGCCCCCTCATCCACATGGGTTCATGCACAAGGCCCAGGACATCCGGACCGTTCTGGCCATGTTGAGCTTTCTCTGAATTCTCTTTCATGCCTTCTCATTCTTCCTTTGTAGGAAGAACTAGACATGTATGAGAGCCCTCAAACGCATGCTCAAAGATGTTCATTGCAGTAGCATTTGTAATCCTGGAAATGCCCATCAATAGGGGAAAAGTTAAATTATGAAGTATTCGTGGTGAGACAAGACATGAAATTAGTCTGTTTGGACTGCTGTGTAAAGACGCCTTTGGTATCTTTTTTGTGTGTGTGAGGCAGGGTCTCACTCTGTCACCCAGGCTAGGGTACAATGGCATGACCATAGTTCACTGCAGCATCAAACTCCTGGGCCCAAGTGATCCTCCCACCTCAACCTCCGAAGTAGCTGGGACTACAGGTACACACTGCCATACCCAGCTAATTTTTTTTTTTTTTTAAGAGACAGGGTCTTGTCTGGTCATGGTGGCTCACACCTGTAATCCCAGTACTTTGGGAGGCCAAGGCGGGTGGATCACCTGAGGTCAGGAATTTGAAACCAGCTTGGCCAACATGATGAAACCCCGTCTCTATTTAAAAAAAATTGGAAAAAAAAAAAAAAGAGAGACACAGGGTCTCACTATGTTGCCCCATCTGGTCTCAAGTGATACTCCTGACTCAGCCTCCCAAAGTGCTGGGATTGTAGCATGAGCCACTGCCCCTGGCCTATATATGTTTTTAAATGAAAAAAAGAAAGCAAGTAACATAACTCTGTGATTCCATTTCTATCAAAATACTTGCCTGTGCTCTAGAAGAAGGGGTTGAGGTGGAGTAGGAGACACCAACTTTTTATTCCAGATTGTTCTGTCCAGGGTAGATTTTCTTAGGTTATCATTAACGTGTTTTTTAAAAAAAGCATTTTAATATTTTTAAAGTAAATACATGGCTAATTTATTAAAGAAAAATAAGTTTAACGTCCACTGATACAAAATGAAAACTAAAGGCTCTTGTACCTCAAAGGTAACTACATTTAATGATTTTTCCCTTTTTTTAAGACTGAGTTGCTCTTCCCACCCAGGCTGGAGTGCAATGGCATGATCTCGGCTCACTGCAACCTCCACCTCCCGGGTTGAAGTGATTCTTCTGCCTCAGCCTCCTGGGTAGCTGGGATTACAGGTGCCTGCCACCATGCTGGGGTATTTTTGTATTTTCAGTAGAGATGGGTTTTCGCCGTGTTGGCTAGGCTGGTCTCGAACTCCCGAGCTCATGATCCACCCGCCTCAGCCTCCCAGATTGGGGAATTACAGGCGTGAGCCACTGCACCCGGCCGATTTTTACATTTTTTAAAAGATGGGAGATCCTTTACTGTACTAAATGTACATAACTCTATATTCTTTTTTTTTTTGAGACGGAATTTCGCTCTTGTTACCCAGGCTGGAGTACAATGGCGCGATCTCGGCTCACCGGAACCTCCGTCTCCTGGGTTCAAGCAATTCTCCTGCCTCAGCCTCCCGAGTAGCTGGGACTACAGGCATGCACTACCATGCCCAGCTAATTTTTGTATTTTTCATTGAGATGGGGTTTCAGTATGTTGGCCAGGATGGTCTCGATCTCGACCTTGGAATCTACCCGCCTCGACCTCCCAAAGTTCTGGAATTACAGGCGTGAGCCACCGCGCCCCGCCACGTAACTCTATATTCTAAGAGGTGATATGGGGGAAAAAACACCAGTAACTGCTTGTTTGTTAATGCACAGATATGTCTCTAGACCAAAAAGTAAACACAAACACAACCAACAATACTAGTGAGTCATTCAGTGAGGCCAGGGCTGCTTAGCGGACAGCCTGACCCTGGGTCTGACTGTGATGAAACCCTTATCTTAAAGGTTAAGTGCCCTGACCCGGGGACAATGTGAGCACAGGTGGAGGTGGTGACAGGGACATACAACCTCTGCCACAGTGCTAGAGCCTGCGGTGGGAAACTTCCATGCACCTTTTTCTCTGAGAAGAAGATTGCTTCCTCCCTTTCCCCTCCCTCTTCCTCTGTCTCTAAGTTACGGAAGCAAAGATGTTAGACCACAGGGGGCCCGCTCCTGGAGAGGCCTCCCCCTTCCTCCCCCGTTGGTGGCTGCTCTGGTTTCACTTCACCCCCACCCCTCTCTGTTCAGGCAGGACCCAGCTTTGCGTGGTTTCCTAAGCACGCTTCAGAGTGTGGTTTCTTAGAGTTTAGACATAATTGAAAACCAAACACATACGGGGACTTACAAATCTTCTCTAAAAATAGGAAAAAATAAGATGAAGCCGGGGTGACATTAGTTCCCAAAGGGCTGTCATAGTGTCTATAACCGCCTTTTTAAGAACTTGCAGTTATGATGCAGGCGCTCACTTAAATATCCCTCCCTGTTTGGAACAGGGGTTGAGGGAGTCAGCTGGGTCTGTTTTGGGGGACACTCAATTGCACCTCTATGTCAGGGACACATGCAAGGGCCACACTGCTGCTGAGGGCCGGGGGCTGAGGCCGACCCCACTGTGTGGCCGTCCCCGCTGCCTGCCGCCCTCAGACAGTGTCTGCCAGCTCAGCTGACATCTGGATGAGACGAGGTTCAGGGGCAAACCAAAGCAGCACAATGACTGAAGGGGTGGCATGCAGTCTTGGTGTCTTGCAGGGGCAGGGGGCAGCATCTGGTACAGGATGCTGTAAAACCCTCTCCTTGGCTGGGCACGGTGACTCACGCCTGTAATCCCAGCACTTTGGGAGGCTGAGGCAGGTGGATCACCTGAGGTCGGGAGTTGGAGACCAGCCTGACCAACATGGAGAAATCCTGTCTCTACTAAAAATACAAAAATTAGCTGGGTGTGGTGACACATGCCTGTAGTCCCAGCTACTCGGGAGGCTGAGGCAGGGGAATCACTTGAACCCAGGAGGCGGAGGTTGCAGTGAGCTGAGATCGTGCCATTGCACCCCAGCCTGGGTGACAAGAATGAAACTCTGTCTCAAAAAACAAACACTCTCCTTCACACTTGCTGCTTCCCAAGGTCCTGAGAGCTGCATTCCCACAGCCTTGTCCCCCACCCTCCCACAGGTGTCCCCTTGGGCCCCTCACCACACCAGAGGTGCAGCTCTGGTCACTTGAAGTCCGGAAGTACAGACCCCGCCCCCAAGCACTCTGCCCTTCTGTCCCCCCAGGGCCTGTGCTTTAACAGCAGTGCCTTCGTCCTGTACCTCTCTGCTGCTGTTGTCGACGCATCTTCCGTCTCCCCTGAGAGGGACAGCCACAACTTCAACAGCTGGGCGGCCTCCTCGGTGAGTAGCCGTCCATCCCCACACCATCCTCCTCTTCCCTCTCCAAGGCTCGCCTGGGATTGGGAGGACACAGTCAGCTGCGGGAAAAAGCAGCACTGGCAGCCGTGACATTGGCAGTTGGCTTATTGGTTTGAAAATATCTCAAACTGGCAGGGGCAGGGGGCCCTCCTGGCCTGAAGTGGGAAAGGCTGGGAGACCGCTTGAGTCAAAGCCGAAGGACTGCAACGAGATAAGGATGCAAGGGAGAAAAACTGTTTCCAGCACGCTAAGAACCATTCTACTGCCTACAATTTATTAAGTGCGGGAAGGTTGAAGAAAATGAACAGAATATGATTCTATTTAGTTTTTAAAGTGAAAACGTGTTTATGCATTGAGAATGTGTAGAAAAATATATACCAGTAAGGGTCTGTCTAGAGACAGGGATTGGGAAATGAGGGGAGTAGGACATGGAACTTCTACTTTTTTTTTTTTTTTTTAAGAAAAGGAGTCTTCCTCCATCACCCAGGCTAGAGTGCAGTGACGTAATTACAGCTCACTGCAACCTGGAACTCCTGGGCTCCAGCTGTCCTCCTGCCTCAGCCTCCCGAATAGCTGGGACTAGAACCCTGTGCCACCATGCCTGGCTAATGTTTTACCTGTTGTGTGTTTTTTTTTTTTTTTTTTACTTTGTTGTTTGTTGTTGTTGTTTTGTTTTCTTGAGATGGAGCTGTGCTCTTGTCACCCAGGCTGGAGTACAATGGTGCAATCTCCAGTCACTGCAACCTCCCCCTCCTGGGTTCAAGCAATTCTCCAGCCTCAACCTCCCAAGTAGCTGGGATTACAGATGCTCACCGCCATGTCCAGCCTTTTGTATTTTTAGTAGAGATGGGAGTTTCACCACATTGGACAGGCTGGTCTCGAACTCCTGACTTCAAGTGATCTACCCGCCTCAGGGGAAGAGTGGGAGGCAATTAGACAGAAATGCCAAAATGATTTTGTCAAAGCTGATTGATGGTACATGAGGGTTCATTATATTCTTTACTTTTATTTCTATTTGAAGATGTCTATTTAAAAGTAGAGTGGTCAGGCACAGTGGCATATGTCTGTAATCCCAGCACTTTGGGAGGCCAAGGCAGGCAGAGTGGGTCACCTGAGGTCAGGAGTTCGAGACCAGCCTGCTTAACAATGGTGAAACCCTGTCTCTACTAAAAGTACAAAAAAATTGGCTGGGTGTGGTGGTGGGCACTGTAATCCCAGCTACTCAGGGGGCTGAGGCAGGAGAATTGCTTCAACCTGGGAGGCGGAGGTTGCAGTGAGCTGAGATTGCACCATTGCACTCCAGCCTGGGCAACAAGCATGAAATTCCATCTCAAAAACAAAAAAAAGTAGAGCACATAGAATGACCATGACATTAAAAATCACAAGCTCTGTCAAGACTGGGCCCAAGTTAACACATAGCAAGAATGGACTAGAACTGGATGGAGGCTGCCCCATTAATTAAGAAGGGCCAGCATTTTCCTGCTCCCTGTTCACACCACACACACCATGTGGGCTCACTGCTTACTCCTGCCCACTTGACTCATTTCTGTGAACTGACACTGTAGCCATCCGAGGTTGAACCCTGACCTAGATTGCCTGTGCTGAATTAGAAATGATACACTTCTCTCAGATGCACTGCCGCTATATTTACTCCTACGTGAGCTCCCTGAGGTTATCTGAGCAAAACGACAGGCTTTCAGATGTTCCCCAAAATCAAAACAGCATTGCCAGAAATCATTTGAGAAGAATAGTAGTTGAGTCAATAAAGTAGTTTTAGATGGCAGAGCCTGGTGTCAAGAGAAGGTGGTGAGCTCATGATTCAATGCAGGTGAAATGATCACTTTTGCTAATTGGGATGGACCCTAAACCCCACTTCTATTATGTTTTGTGTTTTCTCCAGTTCTTTGCCTTCCTGGTCACCATCTGCTACGCTGGAAATACGTATTTCAGTTTTATAGCATGGAGATCCAGGACCGTGCAGTGATTTATCATTTTGATAATTAAACGGAAAAAAAAAAGAATCCCACTGTAAAAACAGCTGAAGGTATAATGTATATTCATAGAGAATTGTATTTAACTAATGTTTTTTATATACTTAAATTTGCTCACAAATTGTGGTTTGTTGCAATTAAACTGGATACTTATTTGCAAAGTGTTGTAGCTTATACTGAACTCTTAAGTATCTTATTAATGTCTTCATAGATCCTATTTTCTTAGACAATGTTTAAATAGATAAATTGCTAATATTGAGAATGTGTCAAGTTTGTAAACCTAACTTTTAAGATGCCAGAATCTTTTTGGATTAAATATTGCAAAATCCCAATTAATGTTGTGCTTGACTAGAAAAAGGAGAGAGAGCTGCTGGTGAAGCCGGAGGCTAGGCCGTCGAGGCTGGGGAGCCTCCCTCTTCACAGGACTGCACAGGTATGATACTGTCAGGAGACACTTAACCATAGTCCCAGGACAAAGAGGCAGGTGAGTCCTCTCCCCAAGTCTGGGATCATCGATCAGTGTCCATGATTTTCATATGCTGACAGGTAGGCCCAGAAAGCGTCTATTCAGACCTGGCCTTGGACATCACTGATAAGCTCATGGGAAGTTATGCTACTAAGTACAGTGATTGATGTGCTTGTGATATTTTTTCTAATATGCATTAGAAAAAAATATATAACCATTAAAAGGATATCTGAATATTAAAATTATCTCGCTGGCCAGGTGCAGTGGCTCATGCCTGTAATCCCAGCACTTTGGGAGGCCAAGGCAGGCAGATCACAAGGTGAGGAGATCGAGATCATCCTGGCCAGCATGGTGAAACCCCATCTCTACTAAAACTACAAAAATTAGCTGGGTGTGGTGGCGTGCACCTGTAGTCCCAGCTACTGGGGAGGCTGAGGCAGGAGAATTGCTTGAACCCGGGAGGCAGAGGTTGCAGTAAGCCGAGATCGTGCCACTGCACTCCAGCCTGGCAAAAGAGCAAGACTGTATCAAAAAAAAAAAAAAAAAATTACCTTTCTGACCACAGTAATATGTGTACCATCTTTTTTGAAAACTACTGAGCCAGGCCAGGTGCAGTGGCTCACGCCTGTAATCTCAGCACTTTGGGGGTCTGAGGTAGGCAGATCACTTGAGGTCAGGAGTTCGAGACCAGCTTGGACGATATGGCAAAACCCCCATCTCTACCAAAAATACAAAAAATTAGCTGGGCATGGTGGTGCGCCCCTATGGAAGGCTAAAGAAGGAGGATTCCTTGAACCTGGGAGGTGGAGTTTGCAGTGAGCTGTGATCATGCCACTGCACTCCAGCCTGAGCAACAGAGTGAAGCCATGTCTCAAAAAAAAAGAAAAGAAAAGAATAAAACACTGCTGGACCAAAGGGTTTCAATATTCTAAATCTCTAGTGCAAATATAACATCATTATTAGAAATTATCAGGTACGGAAAGAACTCACATCAGCAAGGCAGTGTGCAGTTAGAGGAACTGTTTCTAGGTAGAACGGTTCTTGCTGGTACAGCAGTGTATCTATCTTGGATGATTTTTCAATATGAGCTTCTTTTGAAAAACAAAAAACCACAGAAACGTTAGTGTAGCTGATGACAGTGAACGAAGTTGAAGCTGTGCGCTCGGTTCAGGAGTCCTGTGGCCTCTGCCTCTTGGTCTCTTGCCCGTTTCGCAGTACGGTTTTTTCTGTTTGTGCTGGTTCTCTTTTTCCGATTCTAATTCCGTATCTAAGCTCTGAGGATCCCTATATAGGAGAGTTGTGATTCTTCAGTGTCTAGTCATACCCACCCCAGACCTTTGAAAGTACCCATGAGGAATATTCTGGGATTATAGACTAGGCCCAAGGAGGTAGTGGGAAGGGGAGCTCCAAGGATGAGAGGTGAGCGCAGGGTATGGCTGTGTGTGAGCAGGCAGTGCTGGGGGCACACGAGGCCACTCTGTGCCCAAAATGTAGCAAGTCAGGGAAGGTTGCGCTTCCACAGCACAGACCTATCGGCAATTGGTGCTGTGATCTTTTGGAAGCTGATTCCCAGTCATCACAGGTTTTGCAGAAAAGTTGAAATAACTACAGTTGGCGTGCTCTCCCTCTCACGCTCACAAAAGCATGTACACCTTCCACATACCCTGTGGGTTTTTAAAGTACTTTATATTGCAAACAACACTCCATAAAAGGCAGAAAAACAGTCACCTACAGAGGCCTTCTGGAAACAGAAAGAAGCCTGCTTTTATGCCGCATGCAAGCGTGTGTGTGTCATTTCTAAAATCATGGCCACATTTATAGAAAGTAACTTCTGGGGTGAAAAGTGCCATAAACCACATTTCCAAATGTTCTTAAAGTAGACTGTAATTTCAGTTCTTTCTTGAACTGGTAGCACCAAAGGCATCTGTTTCAAAAGAACCGTGCCTAGTTTGTGTCCATATGGGGGCACTTGCTGTCTTGTCTGTGTTTTCTCAGGAGCATGATCCTTTGTGTTACCCTGAGCGTTCACTAAAACAGCAACAACAAAAAGCATTTATTTTTAGCCGAAAAGAAATTATTATTTCATTTTTTTGAATACTGAGACCTTGTTCATGTATAAGCTTTAAGTGTAGGTTTTTAGACAACAAAATGATGCTCTGTTGTCCAGATTGGAGCTGTAAGTTGTGAGTTGGGTTTGCTTTATTTTTTTTCTCTTAATAAACAAGAGAAAAACAAAGCCACACACAATACAGCCAACATAAGAATAGGTTTCTGGGGGGTTGAAAATTTTATTACAGGGATAGTGTACAAGGTACTTAAACTCATCTCTGCCATCTGCGCTCACCGTCTGCACTTGCCTCTCCCATTCCAACACCTCCATGCCCTCTCTGGTGGAGCGGAGTCGGCTTTTAATTTGATATATTTACCCACTGATGGCAAATCAATAAAATGCTTTAGGTAATTAATCTCTTTTTATTGCTATTTCCAACTTACTTCCCCCAAAAGACAAATATATATCCAACATTTGAAAACTACGAGAAAATCTAAAGAAGAGAACATTCGATATCAGTAATTTATTTTTTCTTTCTAAGTTGCTCCCTTCACAGGAAAATCCCTTCAAGGCATCAGCACACAAAAGATGATAAATACATGAAATATGTCTGTAATAGAAGGTAGACATTTAGAAATGCCTGCTGAAGATGTAGCCCTGGGCAAGAAAATCCACTTCAAGTCCCTATTTTTGTCCTCTGGACAATTATTATTTTGATTGAAAAGATGAGTTTTCACAGAAAAAAAAAATGGGTTTTATTGAAATTTAATTGAAAAGATAAGTTTTCACAGAAAAAAGTCCGGACACACGATACATGCAAGCACACGTGCGCACACACGCACACACATGCGCACTCTGAAAGGTGGCAGCCTGAGCATTTGTTAACTTGGCTGCACATTAATGTTCTGCTGGCAACGTCTGCCGCCAAATGTGAATCGTAAGCAGAAAACTGTGAAGGAAGGTAAGATAACTTCCATTGCTGATGATGACCTAGAATAATGGGGAAGATTATAATGTATGTTGTTGTAAGTTGGGGAATATATAAACTTGGGTTTTTGGTATATATAAAAGAAGATAGGTCTGGGGGCGGTGGCTCACACCTGTAATCCCAGCACTTTGGGAGGCCGAGGCAGGCGGATCACAAGGTCAAGAGATCGAGACCATCCTGGCCAACATGGTCTCTTTATTTTAAAATAGAAAAAAAAAAAAAGGAAGATAGGTTTGGGGAAAAGTGCTTGGCATCACAGAGAGACGACTCTCCAGAAACTTAGCCAGGTAAGTGGGAAGAAAGGTGTTGATTAAAGAGATACTCCATTTGGAAGATATGCTTTGAGAAGACTTTCCTATCTATGGCAGAATTGTTTCTGCTAACTATTCAGAATAGCTAAATGAATCCAGGGCATAGCGAACCTTCTATTTTCTGTAGAGACAGGGTTTCATCCTGTTGTCCAGGCTGGTCTCAACCTTTCAGGCTTAAGCAATCCATCTGCCTCAGCTTCCTGAAGTGCTAGGACCACAGGTGTGAGCCACTGTGCCTGGCCTGCAGCTCTTTGGATGGAACGGTCCTTATATATGACTTTTCAGAAACTTAGGAAGGTAGGTGGGAAGAAAGGTGTTGACTAAAGACATATTCCATTTGGAAGATGTGTTTTGAGAAGACTTTCCTATCTGCGGCAGAATTGTTTTTGCAACTATTCCAAATACCTAAATGAATCCAGGGCATAGAGAACCTTCTGGCTGCCTCCCCAACAGCTTTTTTTCCTCATATTCTCAAACTGCCCTAGTTTTTATTCAGTATCCACACCACCCTCTAACAGCCTCGGTGTTTTGTGAGACGCCAACTCCACTGGGACTCTAGGAATGGAGCCTGGGCCCTGACTTGGCTCATCAGCATAAAACCACCCTCCACCACAGTGATTGGTTCAGAGATGGTCATGTGACCCAGGGCTTGTCCGGGAGTTGTGGGAAAGAAGCATGCTGTGCGTATGTGTTACCTAATACACATTGACCCTTTAGGCCAGGCACTGTACTAAGGGCTTTCCATCTATTATCTCATTTAACTCTTAGAACCACTCTATGCAGTAGATACTTGATTATCCTCACTTTACAGATGAGAAAACTGAGGTACAAAGAGGTTAAGCAATTTTATAAAATGTTATAAAAGTCATCTAGCAAGTGTGAAAAGCAAGCACATTAACTGCTGCGGTTAATATATTTAATATATTTAAATATATTAATAAATTTAATATATTTAAAGCACCTGGCACAATAAATGATTTCCCTTTCCTTCTTTTTTAACTTTTTTTTGTTTTAATTGACAACAATTGTATGTATTTTGTGGGTACAATGTGATGTGGCTTTGGGGGGTTTTCTCTTTATTTTTTGAGACAGAGTCTCACTGCGTTACCAGAGTACAGTAGCACCATCATGATTCACTGAAGCCTTAACTTCCAGGGCTCACGCAATCCTCTCACCTCAGCCTAGCTGGGACCACTAGGACCACAATCGTCTACCACTACACCTGGTTGATTTTGCAATCTTTTTGTAGACATGAGGTCTCACTACATTGCCCAGGCTGGTCTCAAAATCCTGAGCTCGAACGATCTTTGTGCCTCAGCCTCCCAAAGTGCTGGGATTGGCACGTGGTGCGCCTGGCCACAGCGTGATGTTTTGATATATATATATACACTGCGAAATTATTAAATCCCATGCTTGTTCTTTTTTGGGGGACAGGGACTCACTCTGTCACCCAGGCTGGAGTGCAGTGGCACAATCATGACTCATTGAAGCCTGGACCTCCCTGGGCTCAGATGATC